TTGTATATAATAGTTATATGTTAACATATTATTAATAAACTTCTGAGTTACAATTATTTGTCTTAATATTAAAAAAAAAAATTAAATAAAAGTCAAAATATATCAAAAACAATTAATCAATCTTAACTTTTTTATTATTTAACTTAATATAAACAAACTATATTTTTATACTAATAAATTAATTAAAAAATTTTTTTTTTTTAATATTAAAGTTCCTATCTTCAGGAAGTGATATTTTTATTCAAGTATATAGAATATGAGTTGCCTTTAAAGGCTCTCTTACATTGAAGGTTACAACTAGCCACATATCTACTTTTGGTATCTAATTTAAGTAATCTGTTTATATATTGTTATATAAGTTCTATACTAAATGCCATATCTGTAAGCTAACTAAGGGTCTTGCTTATTTAAATTCTCTGCATATGCAATCCTTTTTGTATCATGAGAACATCTTCAAGACTATACCTATTTAAGTTTTTGATGCTAGTTGGAACTCTTAGAACTACTTTATTCTTAACAGAAAACTTACTAAAGCCTTTATGTTTCACACATACTGACCTAGTTTTATGCAATATACTATAGTTATCTAATACTTGTAATTACAGAAATTATCAGTTTAACTATTATATTACACTATTTCTATGCTTGTAAAGTTTACTAGAACCCTAATGCCTATCTTTCTATTATCTTCTTTATTATTTTCTACTAACCACAACTTAGAACTAGTAGTTTTTATTCAGACTACTAATTCAAATGAACTAGTATGATATATTTCTGTATTCTTTTTCTTTAGTGAATCTGACAGCCCGGTTAATTATATATTTCTCTATACATATTTGATGTTCAGTTTAATATTCAGTTCTTATAAAGGTCTTTAACTAGTCTGATGTATTATCAAAAGTTCATGTTATCTCTTTACTTAGGAATTTTTAAGTAAGTTTTTATTATCTCAGTTTTTTAGTTTTCTATATCTGGTAGTCTTATCATAAAATTTTATACAACACCAGTTAAACATTTTTCTATATATATGTAATGTTATACTTTATATAAATGTTCTAAACTTTCAATATTAGTAGAACCTAACTTGATATAACTGGGTTATAGTAACATGAGACCAACTGATTAACAAGAAACAGTTATTATAATGCAAATATAATTTCTAAATTTTATTATAAATAGGATTTGAACCTTAAATCTGCCACTTGAAGAATGACAACCCAACTATTATACTAGGATCATTATTCTCAATTAATTAAAATTTTTTAAACTTTAATATCAAATTTAATATAAAATATATTTGTAAATATAATATATTTATTCTTTAAACTATATTTTAGACAAATTTGCCTAAAAAATTAAATTGTATTTAGTATTTTTTTAAATCAAATAATAATTTATTAATAATATAAGATATATTTTGCTTATAAAATATATTCTTGAGATGGAGTTCTGTAATCTAATGGTCTAGGTGCCTCTTTTTTTACAACAAGATCAATAGTTTAATTTTAGCTAAAGACAAAACTCTGTAATCTACAAAAGCATATGAATATACATAAAACTCTGTAGTTAAGTTTATGTATTTTATTTATTAATTTTTTTTATTTTTAAAAATATTAATTAATAAAAAAAGGTTTATTAAATTTTCAATATAATTAAACTTTAATTCTTATAACTAAAAACTGAAAACTAATGTAGGTTTAAAACATAAGTATTATATATTTTTAAAAATAATTTTTTTTAAATAGTTCAAAAATAATAATAATTTATTAAATTGTTTAATTAATTAGTAATAAGTGTTATATATAAAAATCAAACTTTTATTAAATAAACAAATTATACGTATATTATTAAATAAAGTTGTTAAAAAATCAAAACAAATATATTTTAAAATTTTTATGCAATTATAATAATTTTTATTATTTGATATTTACTTTTTACAGTTACCAAATATAAATTTATAAAAAATTTTTAATTGATTTTTTAACATAAAATGCAAAAACAGTAAAAAATTATTCAGTTTGTATGAAAATTCAGAGTATATGTATTTTGATCTTCTGAACAACTTTACTTAATCGCATATAATCAATTTATGTAGCAAAATTTTATTAATTCTGGTAACCTACTTTCTGCCACTGTATATGTAAATACTATATTATATACACTAATTAGTAATTTTTTTAGTACGTATTAATATATATTTAAAAATAATTTTTTATAGTCTTAGTAAGATAGCTGCCTAAAAACTAAATTAGAATCGGAATTTATCAAAGCTAGGCCAGCATTGAACAATAATATCAATCATACGTAACAAATTATCATCTAACCAATTTTGCTTATAGGTTAGTACTTTTATTAATAAAATTTTGGGAAATCTGTTGAACTTTGGCTCTATTAATAATTATCGTTTTTTTCAAAAAAAAATTTGCATACAAAAAAGAAATTGTGATATACAAAGTAGGAAATGTTAAATCTCAGTAATTTTACGTAATTTTACGTAACTTTTGTGTAAGATTTGGTAAATCGAAATTTCATGAAAATTTACCTGAAACTTAAGAACTTAATTTTCTGAAACTTACGTAACATTACATTTAATTTATGTAACACAACCCTACCCTGTATACCCTGAAGAAAAAACTTGTATGGATTGTAAGAGACTGGGTACTCTGTCGAAATATGGTATATATATATTTTAATAAACTAATAAATTTTCTTGAATATAGTATAGAAATGGGTGATGTCTAAATCTCTTACGTAGTCCAAATAGTCAGTAGATAATATCAATATGTAATTCCTTAAATAGTATCAAATCTATCTTTAGTTCTAAAATATAAATAGAATCCAATAGCTTAACTGTATATATACATTATCGATAAGTGTTTTATAACGATAATGCTTATACTATTTGTCACCCTAAAAAGAATATACCTGTTCTACAGCAAATAATAAATGTAAAGGACAAATACGTATTATTGTCGGCGATCCTAAAAGAAGGTTGATCACTTTCACAAAACCCAACTGGAAAAGACTCGCACGGATGAGAAAATCACAAACAATTATATATAACTATATGCAACTGATATACATATTACGTACAGTATACGTATATATATTTTTTTTCATTTTTATGACACAGGATTTTATAAACCAATCAAATCGAATGTTCATAAATGCTGTGAATACAATCAAAATTTTGAAACCAATCAAAGTCAACATTTTGTTAGCTTTAAATATAAATTGATATACTTAGTTTTTAATGAAAAATATTTGCATACGTATCGATATTACCAGTTTTATTTAATACAAAATCAATTCTCGTTAGAGTGAAGCGATAAAATCTAATTGGTATTTCATCATATCGAAAAATTCGGCATAAAAAAGATTTGAATATTATTTTTATCTAGTTGGTTAGTCGGTTATTATGTTAGCTTCGCTCAACGTTTGTAAAAAAAAAAAAAAAATTGACTGTAGCTTCTTTTATAACATATGATATAAACGGCGGTTCGAGCAATGTTAATCTGACTATATTCGATAAAAAAAAAAACCATCGGTTCAATTGATTTTTTAGCATGTAAAGGTGATTGGTTGCAAATAATCTTTTATTTCATTTCGTTCTTTGTTGTTACATCCTTGTTATCGTTGACAGTTGATCTAATAGTGTAGATCATATGCAAACATTATCGACAGTCGATCTAATCAGTCGATCAGGATCAAACAGGGTTTAGAAGTATCGTAAATCCAGAAATCAAAAAAATGAGATTGATTATATTTTGTCACACAAAATTATATCAATATATTCAGGTCTTTTTATTTCATCTAATTAAAATGCTGGGAAATTATTTATACGAGATAATTTATACCATATGGGGTTTTTGCCTTGAAAATCAAGTTATGAGACATATAATTCATAACTTGATTTTCAAGGCAAAGACCCCATATGAAAAACGATTTCCATATACATACACATCGTGATTAGAGCGGGTCTTGAAAACCCGAATTCCCTATGGTATAGTGATCTGCATCTTTTTCTCAACTTTATGAAGACAGCTGTAATTTACAAAGATATGTAATTGCTAGACCAGACTAACTAAAAATAATAAAATCATATTCTCGCATATACGTATCTTTAGTACTCATTTATGATACGTTTTGATTTTGAGTGTCGATTGCAGCACTTAATAAATCGTATAATATGAAAGGAGTAATGATTTACCTCGCGAGAATGATGATTTCATGCGATTTGCGTGAGATGATATCATACGCGCGAATTATTCGATATGTAAGACGAATCCTTATCACATGACGGGTGAAATCGCATAATATCTCGTTTGGGATACATTTCCCTCCCATGACTATTATACAAGTATTATGGTTTAAAAAGGTTTAGTTTAATTAATTGTGATGTAATTTTATTAACAAATAAATAAAATAAATACGTACTGTACATGCGTATATATTTTGTTTATAGTGTAAAGTATAAAAAAATAAAATATAATATCTAATTATATAATAATGTCCATTATGCAATAATTAATACATATAAGAATTCTTATTAAAATAAATAAATAAATAATAAATAAAGTTATTTAATAATTATAATAATTATGCTAAGTTTATTTTGTTTTTATTAATGGATTTTATAAAATTTTTCATTACTTGTAATGGCAAAAAAAAAAAAGGATAGCTAAAATAAATAGTAAATAAATTATGGTTCATATTGATAACTATAAGCCCCACAAAAATTATTTCAAATATAATCAAAAAAAAAAAATAATTATAAACGTATATAATTGATACATTTGAAATATTTGAAACAGTATAAATCATTAATTTTTTTTTTTTTTGTTTTGTAAATAAAAATTGTAAATAATAAATAAAATCTGTGTTAAATTAATGATTAATTTACAAATACCTAAAACATTTTTATCACCCAAAAATATCTATATACAATATAAAAGTACACAGAGTAAGACATATATACAAAGATATAAATAGCATTAATATTATCGACAAACTTTGGGAGTTAATGTGACTCTAATAACGCCATCTTCATCAGTTGGACCTGGCCTTCCAAGTGTATCCTTTTCTTCCGGTCGATAATGAACAGATTCGGCGACCGAATTAGTCAAAGAAGTTAAAGATGATCTACTAGTAGATTCTTTATCAATAGAAAGTTCATTGCCGATCTTTAATTCATTATTTTGTTGTTCACTACTAATATCTGATCCATTAGATGATGTACCAGAGTGTCGACGTCCATTAGAAATAAAAGGACCAGTCTTCTTTTTCTTTTTCTCAACATTTGAATTTGTTGAGAGAGAGTTAACGGGAGTCGAGGAAGAAGAACTTGAAGTTGTAGGAATTATTGCAGTAGTAAGCGCACGAATTTTTCCAGTCTTTGATTTTTTACTATTTTGTGCTTCTGTACTTGCAATTAATGCCTCGAATTGCTCCATTTTTCTTAACTTTTCTGGATCTTGAATAGTTGTTGTTACATCATTAGCACGTCGTGTTTTAACTCGAGGTGTTGGTAATCTTACTGCACGTGAAGGACTCAATGGTGGAGATTGTGGTGGAGAGTTGATCGGCGGTGATGGAGGTCGTGGATACAACATAAATTGCTGTTTTGTCGATTGTAAAGGTAATGATAATGGTATGGGTGGCGATATATTTGGCATTCCTGATGGATTTAATTGTGAACCTGAAGATTGTTTATTAAATAATCCGCCAAGTATTCCGAGTTTTTGAGATCTGGGACTTAAAAGTGGTGGTGGTGATGATGGTATTTGTTGTATTGAATTTGATTCATCAATTATTTTTAATTGTTGGTCATACTCTTCATCAGGTGAAGGTATTAAATTTGAAGGTGGTGTAGAAAGAATTGGAGTTGCAGGTAAAGGACCAAGTGGTGGAGGATGTGGAGGTAGAGTAGAACGTTGCAATTGTAATTTTCTAGAAGTTTCTCTATTAGATTTATGCTCAAACTTTGATTGTGAAAGGTGAGCAGGAAAAGGTGATTGATCAACAGATGACATCATTAAATTTAAATTTTCATCAGTCTTTGGATATCTTTTATCCGGTAAAGATGAAAATAATAAAGAAGTTGGAGATGAAGAATCTCCTTTTATATTATCATTTAGAGAATGTCTTTGTGAAGGTTGAGAACCTACAATATTTTCTTTATCTGATAATAATTCAGGATTTTCTATAGGTCTATTATTTTCCATTTTTACATCTACTTGAAAATTATTCAAATTATTTTCTGATGAAATTTCCAAAGTTCCTTCTTCTATAATATTCTTTTCTTTTTTTTCTCTTCTTCTTCTTTCACGTCTTGCTTCACGATCCTCTACTTTAGCATTACTACCCTTTTTTGTTTTTTTACGTATTAATGGTTTTGTTGAAGTGGTGGTAGGTTGAGAGGTAGTAGGATATGATTGACCAAATGACATCATTAAGCTCTCTTCCAATATTTGTTGTCTAAATATTAATGAAGCACGCCTTGCTTGAGGGACCATAATTGAAGCACGTTTTCGAGAAGAATTGACACGAGTTAATCGACTTTGATTAATAGTAAAATTAAGAGAATTTCGTTTAACATTTACAGATGATAGTAAATTTGAAACACGGCCAGGTTTATTAGTTGAAATAAAAGAGGTACGTTGAGAACGATTTGGAAGAGGGACTAAAGAAGCATGAAGTAATTGAGGAGGTTTAGATGGACCTGGTAACCAAGGAAAAGTTTGTGGTTTTAATAGAGGTAAATCAGCATCCATATCGGTGGGATCATTAGAAAATATTGGATTAGAGGTAGGAGCAAATTCCATATTTCTTGGAGGTGCTTTATTTCTTCTGAAGCTATAACCACGCTTAACCAATTTACGATTTATTGATTGAGTTTTGACAAGATAATGATTCTTTTTTGCCAATAACCTTGGATCAATAAATGAAGATTCCTTGGGTAATATAAATTCAGGTTGATTTTTTTTTGTAAAATTCAAACTTTTTCTTTTATTTTTTATTGGACCTATTGAAATACGATTTCTTTGTTTTTGTAGCATTTGATCCTGAATAATAGGGAAATTCTGAGATTGGACATTTTTAATATTAAATGAAACTCGACTTTTGTCACGTGATTGGGGAACAGGAGGAGGAGGAATCTGAGCTATAATCGGAGGTGGAGGAGATGGAGGAGAACGTTTACGATCATAATCAACTTTTATATCCGAAGTAATATTTAATTTATCTTGATGTTCTTGATATGAGTGATGATACTCAAAATTTATCGAAGAAGAACGAACAGGAATATCATTTTTAATAATAAATGAAGAATCAACATTAGGAATTTCTTCTTTCGGACTGTCTAATACTTCAACAACTTTAGTTGTTGTTATGGTGATACCACCACCAAAGGAAGAGGGGGACAGAGAAGAATTTCGGTGAACATCTTGTAAAGATGAATGTTTTGAACTCGTTAAAGACTTTCTCGCAACCTGTGCGGAGTCCATAATGTCATCATCGGTGCTAAGATTTTCAGCGGAGGAGGAAGTCCAATTCAATTCATAAGTGCCATATCTTTTTATCGCAGAACGTCGCTTTTGTTCACCACCTTCATCAATTTGATTTATATGATTAGAAGAAGAACTTCTAGAAGCAGATTCGCTAGATAAATGACGTCGATTGCTTTCTTCAGTCAGAGCCATATTTAAAGGTTTATTTTGTTGGTATCTAAAAGTCGAATTCCACAGTTGTCTAACGTGCGAATATGGGTGCGTAACCGCACTAATGAAGGAGTGAAATGCTTGCCGAAGCCGCACAGCGACTAATTTTTATGAATGAATAGTAACAGCAGTTGGAGCTGTTGTGACGTAATCTTTTTAACCTAACTGATAACAAAATCAGCCAACACTATTTATGTTTTTTGAAAAAAAGGGTTGGTTAAGGGCAAAATATTCTGAAAGAATGTTTAAGTTATTTTAGCCAAAGTAGACGATCGTAAACAAGTGAAAAATATCAAATATAATCATATGAGTGTATAAAAAAAAAGCAAAGTGGCAGAGATTAAAAGGATACCAGGTAAGAAAAGCGTCACGCGGAGGAGACAACTGAAACAGGAGGAAACAATAAAGCGTTAAGTGAATATTCAACTAGTTTTTTTTAAAAAATATTTTATTATAAAGTTGACAAAAAAAAAATAAAAAAAAAATAAAAAAAATGCAGTTAGCAAACAAGAATCACTTAAAAGTACGCTTCAGACTCTATATAAAAAAAAAGAAAAATCATAATATAATTTACAGTACCTTTTTTGCCCCAGTGAAAAAGATGAAGGCATATTAGAACACTTAGACGTTAAAACAGACAATTTATTATCCTCAAGTAACACAAGAGTAGATGTGTAAAATCTTAATTTTATTTATGTATAAATCTGGCCAATGCATTACTATGCATTACTAGATAATGTATGCGCTCAATTCGATTGTTACACAATTTAATTTAGTCAACTATAAATGCTAATATTTTTTTTTTAAATCTTTTTTTGGAATTACGGCCTTGAAATGACGATCCAATAGTCACGTGATTATATATAAAATAAGACATATCGATATCTCTATTGGCATATTTCCCTTCGAAAGCCTAAAAACCAGAAACAGTATATTGACAATCAAAGCAAACCTGCAACGTACGTACTCCTAATTTAAATGATGGATCATCATAACCATTAATAATATCTTGTTATCTACATTTTATTCATTCCAGGTTAAGATATAAATTGTTTCAGATATGTATAACACACTTTAAGATACGTATGATCGTCATTAATCTTAGCCAGCTTAGTATTGCCGCTTAAAATACCTGACCATTATTGTCCATCAAGTTAAACCTTGATCCATGTTTTTTACCATGTTTTTACCAGGGGTATTTTTTTGCGCCATGCACAATTTAATGTATGCTCACGAAATTTCCTGCGAAATTATAAAACATGCATGCTGACCATGTATCCTACTCGGCAAATCCCTTCGAGTAACTTTGAACAATTACATATCGTAATTTCTTTTACATCAGCGTGACTACTATTGTCTTTTTTTTTACTCATTTCTTTTGGAAAATCAAATTGCAACCATAGTAAAAGTAAATTAATATCGATATATTATATTTATCGGGGTAAATATTTATGTAATAGTCACAATCTCGGCTTGGCTTACACTATATACTTGCCTTTAATTATTTACCAATAAAACGTAAGGTTTCATTTATTGGTAAAAAAAAAATATTACTGTTTTGTTGTATGACACATGCTGAATAACAAGAAAAACAATTTTCCAAATTGTTCGTATTAATCAGGTTTTGTGAAACGAACATTTCAAGTCGCCCTCTACAGGTTGCATTCTTATTCCTAAAATATATAATAAATCATAATAATATCAATATTCTTTAATTCCGAATAGAGCTAGGAGATGCTCATATGAAATTTCCTTTTTTCAAGGGTTTATAATCGAGTGTCAACCAAGTGTTAACCAAATGTTAGTGCTTGTTCTCAGTAGGTAAACTATTATCACTACAACTTACGATTGACCTACATTTAACTTATGATGGAATTACACGCAATTTCATTATTCATGTTAAGCGTGTACGCGCATTTAATAAACCCTGTGTTATTTGGTTGTTATTTTGTTTGACAAACATAAAATGATTAATGTCTACTCCTATGCCTTATGAAAAAAATGAACTATATGGATTGGTTTATAATTTTATGGTTAAACTCATATGTACGTGCATTCTTAAAAATTTTTTATAAAATGAGATTAATATCCTGTACTCCTAATTTATTAACGCAATTTGTAATTAATGTTTTATTTTAATCGTTAAACGTTCTTATTGTTAAATAAGCAAAGATTTTCTTCATGCATAAACAAACCAATAACATATCAACAATAAAGTCACGAGATATTATATTTAAAGATTGTCAACAATTTAGTACCCCTATGCATCGGTATCAGTATGTACAATATATATTATCGTGATTTTTTTATATCGACATTCTCTAATTTAATTGAAGAATGCTTATATACCATCGTATCAATAATTTGACTTTCAAAAAACATACTTCTCTATGTTACTAGAATTGAAAACCATTTATTATATTATACAGGGTACACACCATATAAGACGTTAGTCCATTGACATTAACAGTTTCTTCCAAGAATTTAGTTTGATTACATGTATTAGAATATTCGATAAACCAATCCGACTATAATTTTAGATTTTGTTTAGTGATACAGTGATTCATAAATAGTTTTGTGCTTTATCTTTCAGAATCTTGGAATATTACTTTAATCGGAATATCGAAAATGCTGAAAAACTAAGTTAATTGTATACATTTTATTTTCATTATAACACAATATTTTTTAAACCATTGACAGATAGAATAAAAAAAGTCTGGTATTCAATAAAATTTTATGTGAATAGCTTCTAAATTTAAATATACAATAATAATTTTTTAAATCAGATTAAATTAAATTTGATTATATTTAAATTTGATTAAATTAAATATTATCAAATTTAAATTTAAAGTAATCAAATATTAAAAGTTAAATTAAATTACAAAACTTAAAATTTTATTTATAATGTTTTATATTTATTTATATTTGCTTTAATTCGATTATATTTCGATTTTTTTTAATAATTTTGCTTTTATTTAATAAAACTATAAATATAAAATTATATTATTATATTATTTTTTAAAAAAATCTAACAATTATTTGTAATAATCTAATTTGTGCTAAAATTTAAAGTTAGTATACAGTTTAAAACTAAAATAAAAAATTAGATTATATAATATTTACAAAGTTTTAACATTTTTTATTTTATATATTTAATTTTTGTTTTATAACTACTAAATTACACAAATATAATATAGTTTTATTAAATAAATATTTAAATTAAATTAAAGCTATAATTAACTATGAACTAGAACTTATATTTATAAACAATAAAAATAATATTTTAATATACTAAATCAAATTAAAAAATCTGTTAAACTGTATTTTATTAAATATAAACAACTAACTAATAAAAATAATAAATTAAAATTAAAGAATAAAAATAAATATTTAATTAATAATTAATATTTTACAATTATTATTAAAACTAATGCATATTTTACTTAAATTAAAAGTTAAATAATCTTTAATTTAAGAATTAAAAATAAAAAAAATAAAAAAAATAATATAAATAAAATATTTAAAAATAAAAGTTACAAGTTGTAAATTATATATAAAATTTATCATACTTATTTTTTCTTTTTAAAATTTTATAAAGTAAGTTATTTTAAATTATTAAATAAAAAAATTAATAAATTACACTCTTTTTTGTTTACCTCTAATCAGAAAAAAAATAAATACAACAAATATAAAGTTATTAAAAGTAAAACAAAACTTATTAAAAAAGACTATTTTAAGAGCTAAAGCTCTTATACTAAAGAAAATAAAACTTTTTTTAATAGTTGAACCTTTATTAACAAAAAAAATTTACAAAATACAAAAACTTGATATTAAAAAAAAAAAGATACCAACTCTTAAGCAGACAAAATAAACAAAGTATTTTTTAAATATATTTTTATAACTTAAAAAAGAATAAACTAGCAAGTAAAAAACTAATATCAGTAATAATAATTCAAAATAAAAAAGACTGGTTAGAAAATATTATTCAAAATAAAACTAATTATTAAGTTTTAAAAAATATATCAAATCACAGAAACAAAACAAACAACAAAAATATAAATAATAACAAAAATAGTTATATACTAGTTACAGAATTTGTAAATAGTGTATTACAGGATATAATACAAACTCAAAACTATTCAAAGTTATATATTAGCTGTCAAATATAGTACAAATATATAAGCATTTATATTTTTTTTTAGAACTAAATTAAATCAAAAAATAACAATAAGATGTATAGTGATTTAGTAAAGTAAATAAGTTGTCAATCTTTCAATTAATAGATTATAAGTTCAAAACTTACTAACAATAAAAATTTAAATAATTATTTATATAATATATATAATATTATACTAACAGTATTCTGTTAATCAGTTGAAATAAGATACTTGTTACTATAGTTATATATAATTGACAAATCATAAAACATTTTGTATAACTTTAATTATATAAAAGAATGCAAACTAGTACTAAATAGTGCAAACTCAAGATGAGTTCTTGTGTTTATATAAATTTATGAAACTAGAAAAACTGAAGCCAACTTAAAAAACCTAAATAAAAAGATAACATAAAATTTTAATAGTATTATTGTAAAAATTAAATTAAGAAAACAGATATCAATGTAGAAAAATCAAATAAATAAAAACCTCTAAATAAAATGTATTATTAACTAGACTATCAGATTGAATTAGAAAAAAAAATATTAAACTAAACTTAATATACTAAGAACAGATTATAGTTCTTTTAAGCTATCTGAATTAGAAATCTAAAAACAAAACAGAAGTATATTAAAATATTAAAAAATATACTATAAAATAGATACTGAAATATAAATAAACTTTGCAAAAATAAGCTTTATTGATAGTCTATAGAGTAGATAAGTTAATTAACAAGAGAGTTTTCTAAGTTTTAAAGTTGAATAATATTCTTTGAAATTAAGTAATAGCTTAACAGATATACAGAAAAAAGGCTTAATGTTAGCT